ATTCCCCGAAATCCTGGACGGCCACGTCGCCAATCACCTCGCAATGGTCGTCGCTGGAGCTCGGCAGGGCCGGGTTGGTCATGACCGACCTCGGCGATGGCCCCAGCCGAGCACTGGCGGCGTCCGCTCGAGCCTGCCGCCAGCTCGGGGCTCGACGAACTGTTGCGCTCACCACCTCGCTGCCGTTCGCCATGGGGGGCGTCCCAATGGTGGGGTGCTGAACGCAATGCAGCTCGATGGCGTCGCGACCCGGCGTCGCCTCCTGCTCTGAAGAGTGCGCGACACTTCCGCGCGCGCGCGCGCCTGACTTCGAGGCCGTGGCTGCGCCCTGCGCCTCGCGCAACGCGCTGCGTCTCGGGCGGGGCGCCGGCGCCCTCCGCCGGGGCGAAAGGGCGGAGCCCTGCAGCGCGCAAAGCCGTGCAGCCAGCGCGTTGCCTGCCCCGCCGCGCCCGCGCGAATCCCCGAACGGCTTGCTCGCGATGTCGTCGGCCGCTCTCTTCCTCTGCTTGCATTGATTGCACTTAACGCTGGCCGCCGGCCGACGGTGGCCCCGCGGCTCGCGCTTCGCAGACCGGGCGACGTGCCAGCGCGGCAATTTGCCGTAGGTGGCCTCTCGCGTTCCCTGCAAGAGACGGCGCGCATTTGCGACCGCGCACCGTGGCCTCTGAGCCCGCCGCTCAGCCGAAGTAGACGCAGGCGCGCGGGGAAGGGGGCGCCGTCCGAGCCGGGCTACTCGACAACTGCGGCGATTGGCTCGGGGCGGAGGTAGTCGAGGTCGACTGCCCCCCCTCCGCGAACGCGAGAACGGTCCGCGCCCGCGCTCCGGATGCCCCCGCGCGCCAAGCACCGGCCCCAGAAGGACCAAATCAAAAATTAAAATCAACGGGGGGCTGGCGAACGACGGCCCGCCGAGCCGCGCTCGACCAATCGCGCCGGCGACGCCGCGACGGCAAGCGGGCGAGCTGGGCGATCCAGCTTGCCGGGGGGGGGGCGATGCGAATGCAAAGCAATGCGCGCCCACCGCGGCGGCCGCTGGGAGGATCTCGGCGGGGCGCGGCCGACGCGGGGGGCCCCGTCGGGCGACCCCCAGAAAAGTCGGGCGAGGCGCGGCCGACGCAATCGCCGCGCCGACCGGGCCGACGAGCAGCCCGCGTCTCCGCGCGCGCGCCCGGCTGAGCTCCGGCGCAGAGCGGCTGCGGTTTTTCCAGGCAGTGTATTCTCTGTGTCAGTAACGGACATTGCGACATTAAAACGATGCGCCAAGTGCCCCCTGCCCACCCAGGCAGTCGCGGCGTTCCGCGCGCCCCCCCGAGCTCGCCAATAGGGTCGTCGGACAGATTCGCTCTGGATTCCACGCGCTCTGCGCGCAAGCGAATCTGGCGCGACGAGGTCGGCGCCCTCGGAGACCACCCCGCCGCGCTGCCGCGCGCGCGGGGGGCGCCGTTGCCGACGGGGGCCGTCGCGAGGGCGCCGCGCAGCTGGTCCTGGGGCGTCTCGCGCGCAGCAGGGGCGGGCATAAGTACCTGGGGGCCGATCTGGCGGTCGCCTCGCAGGGCGAGCCGGCGCCGGATAGAGCCGCCCAGCCGCGCACAAGTAAACGACCAGCTGCCGTCTACATGGATGACGGCCGCTAGCCGGCGCGCGGCGTCGGCCGCGTCCGCCCAGAGATGAGCGCGCCGCTTCTCCGCGCGCGGCCCCGAATGGGATGGCCGTGTAATTAGCCGCCGTGTCGTCGAAGATCCGCGCGGAGACTGTCGCGCGCGCCGCGTCGAAAGCAGCCTTGTCCCAAAGGCCACCGCTGTGAAGACGTCGTCCGCGCCCTTCTCGCAGGCTCGCGGCGTGCTGGTGATCCCCGCGACAACTGACGCGCGCCTGCCGCCTGCCCAATTCACGCCGCCCTTTGAGCGGCCGGCGAAAACGTCGACGAACTGGGCCGCTGGCGCACGGCAGACCCCCCCGATGCTGGCCAGCGGCATTGCGCCAACGCGGCGCCATGGGCACACGGCGGAAATCGCGCCAATCTGCATCCCAAGACGCTGCAAATCTCAGCGAGTCCGACATGATGGGCTACTGCAGCCAATCGCCTGCAAGCGCGGGGGGTGCCTCGCTGCCGCGTGCGCGGGGGCGCCGAATACCTCGCGTATCACTTAAGCGTGAAAACTGCGGCGACCGAGCCATCGTGCGCAACATTTTTGGTAAGCTTGGCGCGCTTCGTTGACCGCGGACTCAGTCGCGTCGTCCATGGCGAGGGTCTTCCAATCGCGGCTGCGCTGCCCCCGCGCAGGCAGCCGCCCGGACAGCGTCGCGGCTGCCAGGCCCAACTGGTCCACTGCAACCGCCTCAGACATAGCGCCCGCCAGCGCGCCCGCCAAAAGTCTAAGCCCAGATGTCCCCGCCCCGCTCTGCAGCGCGCGCTGACCAGAATGCCCCTGCCCATGATGGCCGGGGGGGGTTGCGCAGATCCTCGATGCGCACGTTCCCCAGCGCTTTGGGCACGACGTCGGCAACTGCCTCGTGCTTCCTGGGCATGAGGCAGCACGTCGACCAGAGCAACGCCCTTGAAACTCATGGCCTCGCAGGGCTCTCGAAGCCAAGGCCCGTGAATACCTGGCACGAGCTGTCGACATCCCGGGTCGGCGTGCCTCGCCCAAGCGACCTTGCCCCCCGCTTGCCCGCTCAGCCTTGCTGCGCCGAAACAGCAGTACCTTGGGCCGGTCGGCGTCGATCCCGCCAGCGCGGCGCCTGAGCTCGTAACCGATCGATGGCCTTGTCCAGATCCGCATCAGTGGGGGCGCAGTCCAATCGAAGCGGGTGGCCCTGCTTTGTCTGCCAAGCGATATGCTCGCGTTTCGAAGGCCCCTTCTGCTGGCCCCCCGCTGTACGGCACGAACAGTTCCATAATGTCTGGCGGCAGCGGGGGAAGCTCGGCTGTGCAGCGCGCAATTCCTGGCCAGCGCTGCCCATCCACAGCGGCTGCAGGAAGGGTGCTTGCTCCACCCGCTGTGTCACCGTGCAGGATCGCACGAATCGGGACCGCGGCAGCGCGGAACTGCCCGCCGCCTCAAAAGCGCTGAATTTTTGGCCTCATTTATTGCGGCCCACGTTGTCCATCCACTGTTTCCACTTCTCGGCTGTGGAAATGCCAACAGTGCCAGATGCGTAGTCGTACTTCCAGCCTTGGGCCTGTTGTTGCCGCTGGTGCTGCATGGACACCTGGCACTTGTTGAATATATTATTTTTGGCTGGCCGTGGTATCGTCCGCCTGCCCTGCACACTTCGTAACCGCCTGCGCCGCACTTGCGCTCTTGGCCAAGGCGGACTCTGCACCTGCAGTGTGGGACTGGTGTCTGGAGGTGCCTTTGCCGGGCATTATGTGCGTGCGCCACCACCACATTTAGGCTTGAGGTGAAATGACAACAGTTCCAACTGGGAAGAAGCCGCAAACACGATCTGCTCGTTGACCACCGCGGCCTCCTCCGGGATGTTCAACTCCAGGTCACGCTGCGCCGCGCCTTTGGTCAGAGCTCCCTCTAGGATATGGTCGTACTACACATCCAAAACAGAATCGCCGTCCGTAGCCGGATTTTCCTCGGCGATGCGCAGGACTGTTGCCTGGTGGGTGAGCGCAGTCGCCAACGTTATCTGGTCGGCTGCCAGTGGGATCGGGACGCAGCGCAAATATCAGGCCGAGGAACACTGCGCAGTCGATCGGGAATACGTCGGAAATTGAGTCGCAGCGCGCATTGCCACTCCCAGCTTCGAGATGGAAAACGTGGCCCTTGACTCCCACAGATCTTCCGCAAAAGGCATAATTTTACCTCCGCCCTCACCTGCGGGAAACCACACGGGGAGGACAACATTTGCCGTCAAAGCCACGTACGTGAAGGCTGTTTTACTGGCGCGCGCCACAGCCTTGGTATCTGCAGCCAGCGCCGTCCACACTTGAAGGTCCGCCTGCATGCGGAACGTCAGGAGTCAGGAGGTCGGGCACGCTCCCGTCGTCGGCGTTCGCACTGATGGCCCTGGCAACCTCTGCTGCGCTGGCCGCACACCCCAAGAGCTCCCCCAGTGAGGCGTGCAGGCGCCCTTGTTGAGGCATGGGCCCTCGAAAACCTGAGCATCCTGCCCACCTGCAGTCACGGCTTGCTCGGCAACCTGACCATGCTTGTGCACGCGCCTCGCGAAACCACGCAACCCAACATTATCTCCGACCGCTTCCGCAACTTCCGCCGGATCCGTGCCATCAAGGTCCTTCGGACTCCTCAGGCCCCCTGCCGTCAGCTTCGCCGCCACATCCTTGAGGGTCTCCTCTGGGAGCGACTCCTCGTCGATTGACTGCAAGAACGGAACCCAAGCTTCAGCTGCCTCTGCCATGGTGGTACACAGAAGGTGTGCTGTGAGAGGGCCACCAACGGAAGCGGATCAGAGAGCGACTCGGAGAGGTTGTCTTGAGCACAGACGGCAATTGAACGGATCGTATCCCCTCGCCCTTGTGCTGCATCATTCCCAATGGTTTCCCACACAACATCGGAAGTCACTGGTATTGGCTTCCGGCTTGGCACTCCTCCTCGCCCCCCCTCTCCTGCTCCTCGTCCGCCTCTCTGCCATCCCGCCTCCTCTCCTTCTCCTGCTCCTCCTGCTTCTCCCTCCAGCCTCCCTCTCCTCGCTGCTCCCTCCTCCCTCCTCCCTGCTCCTGTTCCTGCTCCTGTGCCTCCTCCTCCACTCGTCCCTCCTCCTCCCGCCCTCCCTCCGTCCTCCTGCCCCCTCCCCTCCCCCCCTCCCCCTGCAGGAGAAGTCCGCCACCGCGCGCGCAATCACGCCCCCCTCCCCCTAGATTCCATTGCGCCGAGGCATCCAGGCCCCACCGCCTCGAACAACACCTGTATCTTTTGGACGCTTGCGAGTGGCGAGTAGGCACTCTGCGAACCGTGGAACGCGCTCGGTGACCCCCCCCTCCCCCCCACTTCTTTGCTCTTCGCCTCTGTCCGCGCCCCGAGATCCTGGTGACAGAGGGTGCCCGCCTCGTCGCCGCTGCGCTTGACGTACTTCGACCACTCCGGCATCTGCCCCGGCGGGAAGGGGAACCACCATCGAATAGGGACATCGGATCGAACCGGAGAGATGGACTGAACGCGGCCTCCTGCTGCTGCTGTTGCTCCTCCTCCTCCTCCTGCTGCTCCTTCTCATCCTCCTTTTCTTTCTCCATCTCCTCCTCCTCCTCCGTCTCCTGCTCCTACTGCTCCAGCTTCTCCTCCTCCTCCTTCTCCTCCCTTCTCCACCTCCTGCTCCTACTCCTCCTGCTCCTCCTGATCCTCCTGCTCCTACTCCTCGTGATCCTCCTCCTCCTCTCCCGCTGGAGGCTGCTCGTGGCTCTGGCCCAACGGGCCCAGTCCGGGGCACAACGTCTGCTGGCCTGGTCTTGACGATGGCCTGACGACTTCCGCTGTCCCTCGACCTGCGCTGGAGTTTCGTCGACTCCTCCAGATTTGTGTGGGCTGATCTGGATTTGCGTAGATCTATCTGGATCTCCATTTCGTTGCGTCGGCGTATCTCGATTTGCCTCGCTTGATCTCCGCAAGCCGATCGAATAAGATTCGTCTAGCCCATAGGAAGACAACATCCCCGTTGCCACATCATGGGTCGCCATCGAATCGGATTGTCGGATCAAACAAGAATGCGCGTTGGCTAGGGCTGCGTCGACACGGAATTGAAAGCAAACCGAAAGGGCTGCGCCGAGATGCACGACAGCGCCATGCAAGCATCCGGTCGCATCCGACAGCTAGAACATCGAATCCGATTGGCCAAATCCAATATTGAATCGGATTGGATCGAGCCGGCCAGTGCAAATATCGAATCGGATCGATCAGATCGAAATGGACCCCCGGAAGGTGTGAGCGACCAACTAGCCGCTCTGCGCACGATCTTGCGCGCGCCACCACGGCCGCAGAGATGCGCCAGCCAGTGCCAATCTTCCACTGCAGTGGTGGCCGAATGGATGTTCCTAAACGAATTGCGGATGGAAGGGTGGGGATGATTGCTCGAGCAGTGGATTGACAATTTCAACTTATCATGAATTGCACTGCCTAGATTGCACCATTGAGATTGCACCGTAGCGTAAACCGCATATGTCACATTTTCCATATTGTACCACGCACATGACACCACGTAACTTACACCACATAGCGCATGCACATATACTGCACCAGACAGCTTACATCGCATAGCTCACAGCGCACGCACTGCACCATATACATTTTGCGCCACATAGCTTCCACCTCACATCTCGCACTGCAGTTATCATACATCAGGCATCTGACTGAGAAGCTTGCACGTCCACAGTGCAACATCTCTCTGTTTGGGGCCCGCGCTGGCAAGCATGTTTGTGTTCAGATATCGGAAAGTCAGATCGCGATACATCATATCCACGCGAGCGACTGCGCGACCATGTTAAACAGCAAGACGCGATGCGCGTGATTAAGTATGCTGTTTCGCACGGCCTCCATTTTGGGAAACTGGACAGATGCGGAATGCCCTCGGAGAAGGCGCACAATATGTTTGTTGCGTGCGCAACGTCTCCGCATCAAGAGATGTGTCATGCGGTTTGTTTGTCAAGCCGCAACCGACCGCACCGAATGATGTGCGCGCCGTACGCTCGCTCTTGCGCGCGGGTACATGGGAGCAAATTTCTGCTACCGTGGGTCCTGGCACGCTGAGGAATGGAATGATGCCAAGTGCTGCCTGTCAGGGCTTCTGTAGCCTGACAAGCAACCCACCCACCCCTCACGTCGCGCCGACCTGCGTGCACCACACCACCCCTACCCAACGGTCGCTGAAGGTAGGTGTTTCTGTACTCCCAGATTCCAATACACTTTAGGCGCCTTCCTACGTCAATGATCGAGTGGCTTCGCCTTTTCCGTCCTCTTTCGGGGGCGGGTGGACGCCCCATCTACTCTCGACGCCTTCCCACTTCATGGCTCTACCCACTAGAGGCCTCCTAGTTGGGGTCCGAGTAGATGGGGTCGGAGGATCTCACCGCATCGCCGATGCATCGACGATGCATCGCTGATGCATCGGCGATGCATCGGCCATGCACTGGCGACGTCAGCGATGCATCGGCGACGTTGGCGCGGAGAAAATCGAGCCCCACATCGAGCCGCATCGCCGATGCATCGCCGATGCGGCGCGATCCTCCGACCCCATCTACTCCGACCCCATCTAGGAGGCCTAGACCCACTTCTTCCGACCGAGGGGTGCTCCTGGGGGTCCCTGGCTGGCCATGGCGTCTCCCTAGGGCATGGACTGTTGCGGGGGCTCCTCCTCCTCCTCCTCCTCGTCCTCCTCCTCCTCCTCGTCCTCCTCGTCCTCCTCCTCCCCCTCGTCCTCCTCGTCCTCCTCGTCCTCCTCGTCCTCTTCGTCCTCCTCCTCCTCCTCCTCCTCCTCCTCCTCCTCCTCCCCGCAGGCAGCTGGCACCACCCAGAAATGCCACGACGCGGAGAGACACTCCGAGCATCTGGAGCTTCCGCGCGGGAGCGCGGCGAGGGGGCGCGGCTTCGAGCGGAGGAGCCCCTGCTCGTGGTCGGTGGGAACTCGCCCGGGCCCATGACCGTGCTGTGGTCGGAGGTCGGGAGGCGCGAGGCACGAGTGATGACGTTGTGGTGGGGCGAAGCCCTACAGTTAAGTCGGGCGTGTCCCCCTACAGGGGGATGTTCGACGAGAAATGAGAGATACAAAACAAAAATACTCGAACGATTCCCCAACAATGCTCGAAAAATGTCCAGACTATTTTTTGACTATTTTTGGATTTGCCCCCTGTAGAGGGACAGGCTCGACTTAACCCTACAGCGAGGGGTTCCAGGGGAGGGGCGCACCCGCGCACCCCGGCGCGGACGCGCGCGGCCGGCCCCGAGATTGCCCAGGAGGGCAGCCCAAGACGGCCCAGAGCCCCAGAACGGCCCAAGTCGGCTACACGCAGGAGTGACCCTGGGTAAGAGTGACCTTTGGTGCGCGACTCTTTGAGGCCGCGGGGGGGCCAAACCTGGGCGCGCAAGCAGCTGCTACTGCTTCGTTTTTAGCCATCTGGGGACCCATCTGTGCCCGCACCAAAGGTCACTCCGGCGAAAGGTCACTCTTACGTCTAGTCGACCAAGAGGGGCCCAAGCGGGTCCACAAGGGCTCCGAAAGGACCTCCAAGAGGGCCGGGAGGCGCTAAACAGCAGCGGCTCCCAAGAGATCACATTGACGTGACAAGCTCGTAACAGCGAGGCTCCCGAGAGCGAGCGGTAACGCACAAAGCTCTTAACATCAAGGCTCCCAGCAGCGAGCGGTGATAAACAAGCTCCTAACACCAAGGCTCCCAAGAGCGAACGGTGCCATGAACCATCTCGGGCAGATTTATCAAGCGCTCTTTCCGTTCCCGTACCGACCCAAGTCATTATTTTTTCGGGGGCGCAAAGGCTTCTTGGGCAACTCTGGAGGTCCCCAGACGGCTCCGTGAAAGGCGGTCGTGCCTCAGCACGAGCAGTTCCGTCTCGGGCAAACGACAAAGAGGCCGAGCTATGACCGTAGCTCCAGCAACTCTATCTGGCCGAGTGCTATGTGTGTGAGACTTTCGCTGAACGAAAAGATCGACTGCAGCGGCACATGTGGATCACCCTACAGGGTCAACGCAGGAACACGAAATAAAAGCGAGATTTCACTCAGAGCGGCGCCCACTCCATTGAGATTTCACTCAGAGCGGTGCCCACTCCATTCTTGGCCCAAAAAGCGTCCCCAGAAAATTCGGGGAAAATCTGGGGACGCTTATGGGCCCTATGAGGTCTAACCCGATTGGGTCCAAGTCGGCACGATGACAGCTAGGCTCCACCGTGGGATTGGGGAGAGTTCCCGACTGTGCCTGACGATTCTGGCGAGGAGGAGGGGGACGAAGCAGAATATAATCTCCAAGTGCTCAAGCCCCCGATGCCCGCACGCCCGTCTCGGAGCGGACCTGTTAGAAGGGAGTGCTAGCACAGGGAGGTCTTATAGAAGAAGACAAAACCCTGTAAACATTAACTTTTGGCGCTCCGCGCGGATTTCTTGGATCTGCGCTGGACCCCCCCCCCCCTGGCGCGGGGAGCGCGCCAGGGGCGGCGCTGGAGGCGCCGCCAGGGGGGCCCAGCGCAGATCCCAGGAGTCCGCGCGGAGCGCCAAAAGTTAATGTTGATAGCTTCGGTCTCAGCGAGCAGGGAATCGACAACAAAAGGGTGCCGGCAACTCAGCGCTCAAGCAGCTGGCTGTCCCGGTGCCACCGGCGGCCACGCAGTCAGAGGAGCGCCCAGCGGCGGGCCCAGGCCAGCTGCACGCATGGGACTTCGTAACTCTCCCACTCCCCAATGCCCCCCCAAAAAACTGTAACACACTGTAGGACATCGCGCCCAGAACCTTAGACCCCATGCTTCTGCGGCACTTCCCGAGGCGCATTGGTCCGAGAGGGTCACCCGGGCCCGAGATCGGATGAGAACGCCTCGAGTGGCAAACTTGCACCGCCTGGATCTCAAGAGTCGTCCAGCCCGACCAGTGCCCCGCGCCCGTCCATCATCTTGAACCCGTCGGGGTCGACGTGGACGATGTTCTCCAGCGGGAAGAAGCCTGCGGGGCAGGATCAATCATCACCGAATCGGGGCACTGGATCTCGGCTCGCACCGCGCGTCGGCTTCGGCTGCATCGGCACGGAGTCGAACTCGCAGCGGATCGGCTGGGCCGAGATGCACAGCAGCGCCGTGCATGCAAAAAGCGCGCCGCGTCGACTCGACGGAACACCAGCATCGAACCAGATCGAGCCTTAGGTCGGGCATGTCCTCCTACAGGCGGATTTGAGACGACAAATAAAACAGACGCAACCAAACATGATTCGGAAACAGTCACACACCGCAGAAGCCTCGTCTCCACACTATTCTTTGACTGTCCTTGAACCTGCCTCCTGTAGAGGGACAGGCCCGACTTAAGTCAAATCCCCAATCTCGGATCGACCGCATCACAAAATGGACCCCCGGGGGGGGGAGGGCACGGGCACGCACCCCATTCGGGAAGAAGCCGCGCGCCAGGGAGCCAGGGAGGCCTCGCAGACGCCGCGCCGCTCTCGCACGCGGCGCCCCTGTGCCACGTGGATGCGGAGGCAGCGGAGGGGGGCTGGCTCGGACTACCTCCCAGACCACCCCAACCCAGCCCGAAGACCCGACTTTCGGGTCTGGGGCGGGCTCGGGCTTCACATCTGTTTTCGTCACTGTTCCCCGACACCCCCCCCCGCACTGGAAATGGAAGGCAGATCGGGGCCTTCGGGTTGGACTGGGGTGGCTCGGTGGGCGTTGAGGCTCAGGGGAGGGGGGATACTCGCCCCGAATTTCGGGTTTGGGGCGGGTTCGGGCGTCACATGTGTTTTTGTCAATGTTCCCTGGCCCCCCCCCTGGAATTAAGTCGGGCCTGTCACGCTACAGGGGGATTTTCGACGAAAAACAAACTCATACTCATATGCAAAACATGCTCCAAACATGGCCAAAACTGATTCAAAACATAGCCCCCAGGCCATTCGTTTGGTATTTTCTGGTATCCCTCCTGTGGAGGCGGACAAGGCCCGACCTCACACTGGAGACGGAAGGCAAACCGGGGCCTTCGGGTTGGGCTCGGGTGGTTCGGTGGGCGTGGAGGCTCGGGGGGGGGGGGCGGGGGGGGACACTCGCCTCGGGCCGGCGGGGCACCGCGGAGAGAGATCCGCGCGTCGGGCCGACGACGGCGAGACCGAGCGCTCCTGCACGGGGTGGGGCACCGAGGCGCCGAGCAGAAAGGAGGAGGCCCTGGGACACACACGTAAATACACACCAGTAACAGGGATCCCCATATTTCCCCGTATGCTCTGGTTTCTTGTCTTCCCCCACACTTCCCATATATTTTCCCATACATTTCGGGGGAATCGACGATTCATTGTGTCTGTGCGTGTCTTTCCCTCCTGCAGAGAGGGGGGGGGCGACTGGGGGCGGGTGCTCGCACCCGTGGGCGGCGGCGGCCCCCAGGACGAGTCTCACCATCAGGTCGGGCAGTCGGCTCGAGGCGGTGAGGCGGACTGGGCGCGGCCGCCTCCTGCTGCTCCTCCGCCTTCTCTGAAGGGGCCCCAGGACACACAAATAATTATCCCAGTGCGACCCTACCTAGGAGTTGGAGCCCCTAGGAAAGCAGCATTAGTAGTAACAGTAAAGCTAAGCAAAAAGCTAAGCTAAAGCTAAGATAAATCTAAGCTAAAGCTAAGCTACAGCTAAGCTACAGCTAAGCTACAGCTAAGCTAACTGTAAGCTAACGCTAAGCTAAAGCTAAAGCTAACGTTAAGCTACAGCTAAGACACAGCTAAGCTAAAGCTAAGCTAAAGCTAAGCTAAAGCTAAGCTGATGCTAAGCTGAAGCTAAGCGAAAGCTAAGCTAAATCTAAGTTAATGCTAAGATAAAGCTAAGCTAGACCTAAGCTGAAGCTAAGCTAAAGCTAAGCTAAGGCTAAGCTAAAGCTAAGCTAAAGCTAAGCTAAAGCTAAGATAAAGCTAAGCTAAAGCTAAGCTAAAGCTACGTCTAAGCTAAGCTAAAGCTAAGCTAGAACTAAGCTAAAGGTAAGCTAAAGCTAAGCTAAAGCCTGGCTAACACTAAGCTAAAGCTAAGCTAACACTAAGCTGAAGATAAGCTACAGCTAAGCTAAAGCTAAGCTACGCTAAGCTAACACTAAGCTGAAGCTAAGCTAAATCAAAGCTATGGCTAAGCTAAAGCTAAGCTAAAGCTAAGCTATAGCTAAGCTAAGGCTAAGCTAACACTAAGCTAAAGCTAAGCTGAAGCTAAGCTGAAGCTAAGCTAAAGCTAAGCTAACGCTAAGCTAAAGCTAAGCTACGGCTAAGCTAAAACTGAAGCTAAGCTAACGCTAAGCTAAAGCTAAGCTAAAGCTAAGTTGACGCTAAGCTAAAGCTAAGCTAAGGCTAGGCTGAGGCTAAGCTGAAGCTAAGCTGAAGCCAAGCTGAAGCTAAGCTGAAGCTAAGCTAAAGCTAAGCTAAAGCTAAGTTAATTCTAAGCTAAAGCTAAGCTAAAGCTAAGCTAGACCTAAACTGAATCTAAGCTAAAGCTAAGCTAACGCTAAGCTAAAGCTAAGCTAACACTAAGCTAAAGCTAAGCTAAAGCAAAGCTGAAGCTAAGCTAAAGCTAAGCTACAGCTAAGCTGAAGCTAAGCTAAAGCTAAGCTAAAGCTAAGCTAAATCTAAGCTAAAGCTAAGCTAGCACTAAGCTGAAGCTAAGCTAAAGCTAAGCTAAAGCTAAGCTAAAACTAAGCTAAAGCTAAGCTAAAGCTAAAGGTAAGCTAAAGCTAAAACTAAGGCTAAAGCTCCCAGGGGACTGGGGGAACCGCGGGGCGGGGACTGGGGGAACCGCCCGGGGCGTGTAGCACTGCCCGGCCCCTTTAAGCAAAGAGAGTAAGAACCCTTCTAGGCAGAGCCTAGGTAGGGAAATACACACAAATTAACAGATTCTCCATATTTTCCCATATTTTCTGGGTTTCTGTCTTCCCCCCCACTTCGCATATTTTCTAATATTTTCTGGGAATCGCCGATTAATTGTGTTTGTGTGTGTTTTTCACCTCCTGATTCTCCCCGCTGTCTCCGTGTCCGTCGCCGTCCCCGTCTCCGTCGCCTCCTCTCGCATCCATGTTCCTTCTAAGCAGCTTCTCCCTGTCGCACGCCCCCCGCAGGCTTGTTGGGAGGGCGGGCTGGGCGTTTCTTCGCCTGAGACTTCCTCACCATGCGTGATCCTGAGACTTGAATTTGGCAGTTTTGCAGATGGAGGGCGGGTCGTTGTGCAAATGTGGCCAATGACTTCAGCGCGGCGCACGTGCGTGGAAGAAGCTTGCAGCAATTTCGCAGATGCAGCACTGTAACAGCAGAGCTTCGCCTTGGTTTCCGCTGCACGGTTGCAACCACCATGCGGACGAACAATTTCGCAGTGCGGCTGAGTGATCTGGAATGTTCTCTGCGGCTTCCGACCATGGCTTTAAGTCGGGCCTGTCCCCCATACAGGGGATTTTCAAAGAAAAATAAAAATACTCCACAAATACTCCAAAATGGTTAAAAATACAAAAGAAGAGTCCTCAGACCATTTTCCACAATTTTTGAATATACGCCCCGACTTGACCATGGCTGCCCGAAGCTGCCCTCCTTCCCAGGAGGCGCACAAAGGGCGGGGGAAGCTATACCCACAGACACTAGCCTCGAGTCTCCACCCCCCTCCTGCTCCTCCCCCACCCCCTGCTCCTCGTCCGCCTCATTGCCCACAAGCGGGGACCCTCTCTGCAGGCGGCGGACTTGCTGAACAATTCTGTAATTTTCTGCATGCTGGAACTCCCGGTGGAAGTCTCTGGTGGGAGGTAGGTCTTGTTTCGATGCCCCGATGACTCCTCCTCCAACTCCTGCTCCTGCTCCTCCTCCTCCTCCTCCTCCTCCTCCAACCTCTCCCTCTCGGGGAGGACACATTGGCTGCCTAGACCAAATGGCGGGTATTACTACCGAGACCCGCCGTCACAACCCCAACAAAATCACGGGAATTCACGACTGGAAACCTCCAACCCCGTGCTTCTGCTGCACATCTCGGGACAGGTCGATCCGTGCGGTCCCTGGGGCCCGCAGCATGAACAACATGCAGCATCGCACAACGTCGCACCCACGAGATCACTGGATGCGGAAGGGGGAGGGAAGAGAGAGAAGGAGGGTGAGGAGGATGCTCACGAGGAGAAGCAGGAATCATCGGATGAAACGCAGGGGCAGACGGAGAAATAACAAAAATGGAGAGGGAAGAAAATAGAGAGACAGCAAGATAATCACGGGAAAGGGAATTGACGAGGAAGGGTGCGGGGAACAGGGGGACCCCAGGAGGACGGGGAGGAAGGGGCCCCCCGGAAGATGCAGAGGAGGGGGAGGAGCAGGGATGATGAGGAGGGAGGAGCAGGTGAATGGGGAGCATGACGAGGAGGAGGAGGAGGAGGAGGAGGAGGAGGAGGAGGAGGAGGAGGAGGAGGAGGAGGAAGAGGGGGGGGGCAGGAGGCGAAGGGCGAGAGTGTGCCGGGAGGAGGAGGAGGTGCATGGGTGAGGCAGAGGAGGGCCATGAGCAGAACCGAAGGGGGGGCAACGAGGAGGATGACGCAGGCATCGGGAGCACCGCCAGTGGTGGAGGGGGGCCACAAAAGGTACCCACACCGCTGCTCCCTCGACCTCTCCCAGGGGGGCGCTGTGGCCAGAACTGCGAGGCGAATCCGGCCGTGGCGACGAGGGCCCTCTCCAGGACGGGCAGCGGCATCGGCGGAGGGCCCCCCCCGGAGCTCCTGCCGGCCCAGACCCGACGGGAGGTTCTTCGCTATGTTCGGCCTCCGCGTCGGGGAAAAAACACCTCCCTCCCTCCTCCTCCCCCTCCTCCCCTGAAGGGGCCCTGGGGCACACACAGAAATACCAACAAGTAAAAGGATGCCCCTATAATTTCCCACATGTTCTGGACTCTCGTCCTCCCCCCCACTTCCCATACCTCCCCACATCTTTGGGGACATCGGCGATGAGATGTGTCTGTGTGTCATCGGCGACCGCGCTCCCTGAACATACTCTCGAGGGTGCGTGGCCCCGGGTCCAGCGCCGGACTCTCAAGCAACGACGAGGGGGGCGAAAAGCGCCCCCTCCTCCTCCCCCTCCCCTCCCCCTCCCCCTCCCCCTCCTCCCCTCCTCCTCCTCCTCCTCCTCCTCCTCCTCCTCCTCCTCCTCCTCCTCCTCCTCCTCCTCCTCCCCCTCCGAGCTCGAGGAGCGGAGAGGGGGGCCTCCTCCGGCCACGACGGGGGGGGGGCGGCCGCCCACGACGGGGCGAGGGGAGCTCTCCCGCGCGCCGCGCGGCCGCGGGGGGGGGGCCTTTCTTGGACATCCAGCTGACGCAGTAGCCCTTGCCGACGCCCATGGGCCCGCACCTCCCCTCGCCCCCCCTCCCCCGCGGGCGATGGGGCCCTCCGCGGCCGCCCGGGGAGGCGGGGGGGGAGCGGAGGCGGGGGATTGCCGCAGAGAGCCGGCAGAGCAGGCTATGGCATACATCTCAGGCTTGAGCTCGTCGGTGGTTGTATTGCGCGGCCGAGGGTGGGGTCGCGGGAGGAGAGAGAGAGAGAGAGAGAGAGAGAAAGAGAGAGAGAGAGAGAGAGAGAGGCAGGCCACGAAGGTGTCGGGGAGCGCCCCATGCGCCTATGGCCTGGCGCCGGGCTGTGGAGGACGGGGACGAGGACGAGGACGAGGACGGAGGAGGAGGGGTGAGGATGAAGATGCAGGGCAGGGAGGGAAGGAGGGAGGAAGGAGAGGGAGGGAGGGGAGGAAGGAGGGGAGGGAGGGAGGGGAGGGAGGGAGGGGAGGTCACGTTTGAGCGTGGTGGAGGCGAGTCCAGGCAGACGAGCCGTGGCTCGTGGCCGCGCCGAACGTGAGCTGCCGCTGCGAGCAGTCGTACAGATGCAAACGCTGCGCTGGCAGCGGCCCGCCAGGGGCGCCCCTCTGGGCCTTCCGAAGAGGAAAAGGCGATGAAGGGGGCACGCTGAAGGACGGTCTCCTCGAGCCCTGATTCACACAATTGGCGCCATCTGGATCCGGGCAGGAAAAGCTGCCCTCCGCGAGCAAGGGGACTACGACGACACCTCCGCGAGACTGAGGAAGGGAGAGGCGGAGCAGGAGGAGGAGGAGGAGGAGGAGGAGGAGGGAGGGGAAGGGAGGAGGAGGAGGAGGGGAGGAAGAGGAGGGGAAAGGAGGAGGGCCTTCATGATCTTCAGGGCGTGTGCTGGCGCCAACGTAAGGTACGATACGACGCAGGCGGTGCAACCCTTCGATGCGACGCAGGCGGTGCAATGTATTGACTGGTGTATGGTGAAGTTTTTGTTCAGCGTGTCTAGTAGGGCCACCCCCCGTCCGTCGCCGCCTCGAAGCACGCGCCGTCCGGAAACAGTCCCCCAAGGATTGCTTTCCAGCACTCTTGGCGGAGACGGCTCCAAGACGCCCCAAAACCATCCGAAGACGGCGGAAACGCGCCCCCGAAGACTCCACTACCTGGCGCATCCCACCTGCCTTTTAGGCGTAGGGAGTTTAACGAGTTAATTTTCCAGCCTCCTCCTCTGTCCCTCGGGGGAGAAGTGTACGCACCCTTCCCCCTATTTCTTGGGTATTGAGGGGGGCGTTCTGCGCGTGGCTGGAGTGTCCAGGACGACCCCTGGATGACCAAGCTAGTCCAAGGTGGCCTCCAAGATCGCACAATGTAGCCTTGTGGATACCATGACAGTGGACACTCTAACAATCCGGTCATTGAACTAAGGATGTGTTCAACATGTGTAAAACATGTGCTGGTACTGCTTCAAAAGTGCATGCTTTCCATATGTAAAACATGGTTGACACATCTGGTAGACATCTGGAAATTATTTGGCAGCATGCTTCCTCTACATGAATCGCCTTCCACAAATATAGCCCGAAATGGTTCACTACTACTGCCAAGAAGCTCCAACACAGTCACGCGGCAGCTCCAAATGGCCAGGGGGCTTCCCGAAGACGCCCCCCCGAGAGGCCCCCTGTCCTGCCCAGAACTGAAGGACACCGCTGCTTGTTACAAAAGGAATCAAACTTTTGTTCTTGCCCACACAGAACACAAGCACCCCATGCCTGCTCATGGGCAAGACGAACTCTGTATCACCCTCATTCCCGGCAAATCTTGGCTCCCCAGAAGGGGTCGGAGTTGAAAATCAACCCAATTACGAGACATGGCAGGACCCTTCCCCAGCACCCCTGCCCAGGAAGGGTACTTACGCATGTTGCCCAAATTTACCCTTGCCCACGCCACGTCGGCCAGGGGTGGGTCCACCTAAACAAATCGAATGGTTGAAACGTGAACGTGTTTCCCGAGAGCTGGCGGCGGCCCAAATGGGTGGGTCCAAGAAACACCGCAGGCGGGTGAGAGGCGAACGGCTTTCCCGAGATTGACGGCGCCCCCCAGGGTGGGTCATTTCGTAAATCAGCACGATTTTCCCGAAGCATCTTCGCCAGTCCAAGGCTGCGGGAATGCAGCACTGGACTGGCGAAGATGCTTCGTAGGTCGGCACAAGTTCCCCGATTGCATCTGTCTGAATTTGGGACCTGCCACAAACAACGCGTGAATGCTCCGAGAAATGCTGCAGCAGGAGCTCGACGCCTTCCGCAAGAAACCCAATCCTCAGATCCCAAGGCGTCCACTGATTTTTGATGTGGGCACGTCACGCTTTCCATTGCAAGACCATCGAAACCCAAGAAACCAAGGGCGCCCTGGAGGCAAGCAGGGTGTTTCCTGGCATGGGTCTCCACTGTACTCGACCTCAACAAGTATGGAACAATCCGCCACTGGGTGAGGTCAGAAAGTTCGCTCAGCCTCAGAAGAGAAGCGGGTGCCACGTGTCACCCCCGAAACGGGGTGAGACAAGCCAAGTGTGAACTTGGGATCATCAGAGCCAATGTGGGGTTGGTCAGCCTCAGACAGGCAGCGGGTGACTCGTGTCGCTTTCGAAGCAATGTGAGAACAACCAATTGTACATTTGGGCTTCTGGGAGCCAACATGGGGCCAATCAACCTCATGTAAACAGCGCGTTGCACGCGTCACCCCCGAAACCGTGTGAGAAAAGCCCAGCATGGGGTCATTTGGCCCAAGAGAAGCAGCGGGTGACACGTGTCACTCCCGAACCGCTTGAGAACGACCAATCGTGAGTTTGGAATTCTGGAAGCCAACATGGGGTCTTTCCACCTGGAAAAAAACAACGACGGGCGACGCGTGTCACCACTCAATCCGTTTGAGAAACACCATGTGTACATTTAGAGGATTCTGGGGGCCAACGTGAGGTCAACGCCAAGTGGATTCTGGGAGCCAACATGTGGTCAATTGGCCTCAGAAAGGCAGCCGGTGACACGTGTCGCTTGCGAAACGGTGTGAGAAAAAACCACTTGTGTAAACTTGGGATTCTGGAAGCCAGCATGGGGTCAATGGGCCTGAGACAAGCGGCGGGTGACACGTGTCACTCCCGAAACCATTTCAGAAAGACCTATCGTGAAGTTGGGATTATAGGGGCCACCATGTGGTTATGCATCCTGAGAATGGGATCATGGGAGCCAACATGGTATCATTCAGCCTGAAACAATAACGGGTGGCATGTGTTACCCCCGAGGCGGGAGAAGAAAACTAATTGTAAGTTCGGGGTTCAGGGAACCAACATGGCTCAATCTGCCTCAGACAAGCAGCGGGTGACACGTGTTGCCCCCGAAACGGGGTGAGCAAAACAACTTGAAAATTTTGGATTCTGGGGGCCAACATGAAGTCATCTGGCGTGGGAAGAGCAGCGGGTGTCACGTGTTACCCCCGAAACCGTTTGAGAGAAAAAAATGTGAATTCGGAATTATGAGAGCCATCGACAGGGTCATTCAGCCTGGAAACAAACAGCGGGTGGCACGTGCCTGCTCCGAAAACCGTGTGAGAAAACTAACTTCTAAACTTTGGATTATAGGGGCCAACATTGGATCATTGGGAGTGGGCAAAGCAGCGGGTGACTCGTGTCACCCTCGAAACAGAGTGAGGAACACCGACTGTGAATTCGGGATTCTTGGAGCCAACATCAGCTCTTTCATGGGGCCTGCCAATCTCAAAGAAACGGCGGGTGACACGTGTCACCCCCGAAACCGTGTGAGAAAAACAACTTGTAAATTCTGGGTTCTGGGAGCCGCATGCGGCCAATGGGACTGAGACAAGCAACGGGTGGCACGTGTCACTCCCGAACCCGTCTGAGAAAGACCAAATGTGAATGTGGGATTCTGGGAGCCAGCAAACGGTCATGCGGCCTGGAAGCAAGCATCGGGTGACACATGTCACCCCCGAAACCGAGTGAGGAAAACCAGTTGTAAATTCGGGATCCTGGGAGCCTTCTCCAAGTCCAAGACAGCCCCCAAGGGGCCCCCAAAATCGCCCCGATGGGGCCCGAGAATGGGAATCCGGACAGAGATTTGAAACCCCACCTCCGGAGAACCCCGGAGACCGCGACGAGCAACGACGATGACGGCAGTGGCGACGACGAGCCGCGGATACCCCATGGGGGGAGCGGGTGCAACGAATGGCCCAGCGACGACTACGACGAACGCCGACGGACGACGACGACGACGACGACGACGAATTGCGGACGCCCCACGGGGGAGGCGCGCAAGGGCTGGCGACGACGACGACGACGACGACGACGACGACGACGACGACGACGACGACGGACGACGACGACGACGACGACGACGACGACGACGACGACGACGACGACGACGACGACGACAACGGCGGCGGCGGCGGCAGCGACTGCGGCGGCGGCGGTGGTGGCGACGACGACCCACCGACGACAACTGCGGATGCCGCCTGGGGAGGGGCGGGCTGACGAGGAGGAGGAGGCGGAGGAGGAGGAGTTGGAGGAGGAGGAGGAGGAGGCGGAGGAGGAGGAGGAGTTGGAGGAGGAGGTTGGATGGAGGAGATGAGGAGGAGGACGCACGGAGGAGCGAGGGAGGGGCCAGCCCCCCTCCTCCTCCTCCTCCTCCTCCCCTCCTCCTCCTCCTCCTCCCTGCCTCCTCCTCCTCCTCCTCCTCCTCCTCCTCCTCCTTGTCCTCTTCCTCCACCTCCTTGCCCCCTCTCGGCGGTGGACAAACCTCCACTTCAGCACACTTCCCCTTAGTGAAAACGGCCTGGGACCGAGACCGGCGGACCTGGACCCGCAAAAATGACGGCCGCGACGCCCTCTCGCGAACCGAAAACGGCCAATTCACTGATCGACGTGTCAGGGTAGGTCTCTCCACCTCCGAATGCTGGAATGTTTCCCCGCGAGGCGCGCTGGCTGCAGAGCGGGTGGCTGACAAAAAAGCCAACGTATTTCCCCCAGGAGCTCGCCAGAAACACGGTCCGAAGGGCCCCACGATGGCCCCAAAGATGCGTCCAAGAGGCTCCCAGAGCGTGACCTCATGCTGCCAAACCCCTGCGTATTATATCATCGGGGTAACTCGCCTGGTGGCTGTTTCTGGATGGGCTGGTGGGGATGCACAGAGCGTCAAGAACATGCTCCAGCACGCATCCAGGAGAAGCCAGATAAAAACTCCAGCGAGGCCGGGTGAAACAACATGACTTGAGAGAATCATGGGAAACACATGCAGTTGTCTCCCGAACCTCTGTGCGGCTTCAGATCGCCTCGTGGAAACCTGAGACTCACAAGAAGCCTCCGCGGAACCATCGCGTCCCGAGACCCCAGACGGGCTTCGAATGGCCACCCCAACAAGCCTCCAGGAGGCCTGGAAGAGGCCCCACGAGGTCCTCAAGAAGCCTCAAAAAGGCGGCCAATAGGCTTCCAATGCGCCTTCAAAGTGGGAGGAGGGAGGATAAGGGGAAGAAGGATGAAGGGAATGGAGAACGAGGCTGCGGAGAAGACCCGCGCCACATTACGTAAACATGGCACTGACCTGAGGGGGTCTTCAAGTCAACCTCCGCTCTGCTGCGCTGCTGTGCTGGCACGGTGGCGGGGTGTGCCGCATGCAGCCCCACGACACGGACCCGCCCAAGCCCCAGCCAGCATCCGGACAAAGACGAAGAGAAGAGAAGGAAACGTGATCAGAAGAGTCGGCAGAGCGTGTGGTCCCAACGTCAGCCCTGCCAATGCGCCGCGCATCGATCTCAACCACAACTGAATCTCGCGCAATCGTTGTACTTCCGGAACAAGTGGATGAATTTCAGGCACCGTGCAGCCTATCGTGCGACAAACGAAAGTGTTACAGTCCCTGTGGGCTGGTGTGACGGCCCTCCGGTCTCGCCGAGGTCGACGCCAGCGACGCTGCTTGCGTCGGGCAGGCCCCCGAGACACCCGCCCCGCTCGGAGTTTTGGCCCCTGCCCCAAGAAGACGAAAGGGATCGAGGAGAAGCAGGAGGCTATGAACCAGGTGAGGAAGAACAGAAAGCGGCAGCCGACAATCTGGAGGACAAAACAGAAAGATAGAGAGAGAGAGAGAGAGAGAGAACGAGAGAGATACCAGAGCATACCAGGAAACTGGAAACAACACATGGCGTGACTCGAACTTGGAGCATCCGTGGACCACTGACTGGATACACATGCGGAAGCCCAGCCTTCTCGGCCATGTAAGTGTCGAACGCTGGAATGACACCTGACCACACGCGTAGCCCAGGTCGGCCGCGCCATGTGTATTCAAATTCCTGATAGTTCCATCCCCCCTCCCTAGGGCGCGTGAAGACGAGCCAGGGTGCTGGCTGCTGGGAGGAGCGCACGACCGCGCTCTTGATCGCCTCGTCTTGCCAACGCTGCCGCTCCATCGTGTAGTTTGAATGGTACCCGAAGTCGAGCCGGCGCCGCAGGTGCGCGAACTCGTGCGCGAACTCTCTGGTGTCGACCCTGTAGTTGTCGCTCGTCGATCTTATAATGAGATACACACACACACTAGGCATAAACTGTCAACGGTCCGCGCAGATTCCTTGGATCGGCGCGGGTCCCCACCACACCGGGGGTGGCGCCAGAGGCGCTGCTAGGGGTGTCTGGAGCAAATCCAAGAAACCCGCACGGACATCCGAAAGTCCATGTTTGCGCAGCTTTTTCTTCCTCGAGACCTGGAGTAGTCGAAGTCGTCAGGGACGGTGAAGCCGTAGTCGAAGCCCTGGCGCAGCTTCTTGACGAGCAGGCGCAGAGTCGGCGCTCCGTTCCCCGACGATACGGCCGCTGCGAACTGCTCCTGCCCCACGCTCCCGTCCTTGGCCTTCGGGATGTTGCCCCAAATCCTTGCGATCTCGTCGTGGCCGAGGTCCTGGAAATCGAGATCCTCGGCAATGCACCGCAGGTGGTCGGGCGTCATCCGGAACGCAGCGCTCTGCGGGTCGATGTCGATCATGTCGACCGACGGCGGCTGCCTCGGAGGAACAACCCAACTGCACACACACACAAATGCACACACAAACACACAAACGCACAGACAAACACATGCACACACAAACACAAATACAAATACAAACACAAGCACACACAAACACAAACACACACACACAAACACAAAACACACACGCCACGCACACGCACACGCACGCACACACACGCACGCACGCAGACTCACGCACACACACGCACACGCACACGCACACGCACACGCACGCGCACGCGCACGCGCACGCGCACGCACACGCACACGCACACGCACACGCACACGCACACGCACACGCACACGCACACGCACACGCACACGCACACGCACACGCACACGCACACGCACACGCACACACACACACACACACACGCACACGCACACGCACACTCACACGCACACGCACACTCACACGCACACTCACACGCACACGCACACGCACACGCACACGCACACGCACACGCACACGCACACGCACACGCACACGCACACGCACACGCACA